AAAAGGTGGAACTGGGCACGGTGGCTCACGCCTGTAATGCCAGCACTTTTGGAGGCCAAGGGAGGAGGATTGTCTGAGCCCAGGAGTTTGAGAACAGCCTGGGCAACACAGCAAGACCTCATCTCTACAAAGTATTAAGAATTAGCTGGGCATGGTGGTGTGCACCTGTAATCCCAGCTACTCGGGAGGCTGAGGCAGAAGGATCACATGAGTCCAGGCTCTGATCCTGCCCATGCACTAGGCAACAGAGTGAGACTCCAACTCAGAAAAAAAAAGGCCATGTCTTTTTCTTCCCAAACCTAAACCATGTTTATTCTTCTGATCTCTTAACTGAAATAAATTGCTGACTAGATGCATACCAAGTACAATAATAATGAAAATCTAAGTAACAGCTTTGTTGTCAAATAAACTTTTTATTGAAGTCCAGCGTGTCCTAAGTGAGCAGCTTAGTAGCTTTTGGGAAGGGAGAACACACTGGTAGAGACAACCATTTCTGCTCTGTGTTCTTTCTCATTGGTCTGTCTATTCTTGTACAAATGTTACACTGTCTTAATTCAAGCAGTTTTTTAGTAAGTCCCATGCCTGGTAGCAGAAGTCCTCCAACTTTGGTCTATAAGATTGTCTTGGCTGTTCATTCTTGACCACTTATTTTTCATCTAAATGTTAGACTCAGCCTCTAGGCATTTAAAATTGAATACAAATGGTACAGGTCAATTCAGGGAGAGTTACTAGCATTATAATAGCCATCAATATGATACTCTGCTATTAACTCTCCAGCGTATCTGTGGATTTTTCTGGACTGTCTGTATATACAACCACATTATCTATATCATGAGAGTCTCATTTCTTCCTTCCTAATCCTTGATACATTTTATTTTCCTTGTCTTTTTTTTGCAATGGCTGGAACCCTCAATACTTATAGAAGTAGTGATAGTCTGCCCATTTGAACTCAAGAGGGAAATATTTAACTTTTCTCACTATGAAGTGGGATGCTTTGTGTTTTGGGGGGGACTTTGTCCATTTCATCTGCACTTTCAAATTTATTGGCATTAAATTGTTCACAATATTCTCTTATGATCTAATATAAGAAAATCTGTAGTAATGTTGTCTTGTCCATTCTTGACTTGGTTATCTGATGGTTCGTCAATTTTATTTGCTTTTGAAGAACTTTGGTGTTCTTAATCTTTAGTGGCCTGACTTTTTGTTTTTTGAGTTGGAGTCTCAATTCTGTCACCCAGGCTGGAGGGCAGTGGCATTCTCACAGCCGCCACAGCCTGGACCTGCTGGGCTCAGGAGATCCTTCTGCCTCAGCCTTCCAAGTAGCTGGAACTACAGGCGTGTGCCACCACGCCCAGCTAATTCTTTGATGAATTATGTTGCCTAAGCTGGTCTTAAACCCATGGGTTCAGGCAATCCTCTTGCTTTAGCCTCTCAAAGTGCTGGGATTACATGCAGGAGCCACCATGCCCGGCTGACTGACCTTTTTAAAATCGTTTCTAGAATAACGTCCTGTGGAGATGTTGTCTGATAAGTCCTATGTCTAATAATAATAGTGTAGATATACCAGCTTTCTTTTTTATTTTGTTCAACAAACACAAGCAAAGCTACTCTCTATTTCCATGGGCCCAACTGCTGTGTCACCCGTGGTCACCTGCATCCACATGGTCTCACAGTGCCCCTGCCCTCCCACCCCTGCTGAAGACCACCGGGGGAGGGGAGTCACCCCGGCTGCCACCTCTCCTTGGGGCTGGAAGCCAGGCTCCGGGGGCCCATGTCCTGAGTTGATGACGTTGCTTCCACTCCTGTCCTCTCCTGTGAGTTGGAATGTTCTGCCTCTTTTGCCTGCATGGTGCTGGGCAGTGACTGGGGACTGGGAGACCCAGGCAGGAGTGATTGCCAAGAAGCCCAGTGGAAGGAAAGCAAGTCTTGTGCTTCCAGCTTGTGTGCTAATGTTCACACCACTGAGGCGCGGGTGGCAGTGGCCCTCTCCAGGCCGCTCACGGTCTCGTGTTCTGTTCTCTTGCAGTACGTTCACCACAGCCCGGGGAACTCCAAGCGGGGGTTTGGCATAGACTGCGCCATCCTCTCGTGCCAGGTCTACATCTCCCAGATCCTGGTAGCATCAGCCCTCGGGGGCGTGGTCAACGCCGTGGGAATTGTCCGTGTTATCCCAATGGTGGCCTCCGTGGGCTCTTTCCTGGGCTTCCTGACAGCCACGTTCCTGGTGATCTATCCCGACATGTCAGAGGAGGCCAAGGAGGAGCAGAAAGGCCTGTCTTCCCAGCCAGCCGGCGAAGGCGGGGCTGGTGGCAGCGAGAAGCCCACTGTGCTGAAGCTCACACGCAAGGAGGGCCTCCAGGGGCCGGTGGAGACGGAGTCCATGGTCTGAGCCGCACTCCCATTCACACGCATTCCACCGGCCGGCGGGCAGTGGGCCGGGCTGCAGGGCTGGCGGAGGGACCGGTGGGCGGGCAGGCCGATGGAGCCGCGTTGCTGGGCCATATGGTTGCCGTGGCCAACATGGCAGCACCATCCAGAGTCCTTCACAAGATGTAGTCAGAAGTTAGTAGTTGTAGGGTAGGTTTGAGCTACTAGGCAAAAATACCACACTAATTCCTTTTTCAACAATTAAAAAAAATTATTTGAAATCTTTTTTTAATTGAAACGATCTTTTAATTTCAACTGTCTTTAATTCTGCAGGTATACTATTCTGCATGTTTTTAAATTATAAAACATTTACAATATAGACAATAAGCAATTTAGAAAAAATAAGATTTTGCATTTCTAAAATTGTAGTTGAAAACAAAAAAAAAAAAACCCTGACATCCTCTGCTCTGATACTTCAGATAACAGTCAATGACTTAAATGTTTTTACCCAGTTTTTTCCTCCGTGGACGCCTACAGGTATTTAGACATCTGTCAGATCTCATCACATTTTGTTGGTGCTGCAGCTGTTGGAGAGTATTTTTATGATTATTTTAGAAAAAAAGTTTTTTGTTTCCACCATTGTGGTTTTCTTAGAAGAACAGCATCTCTTCTTTCCCTTGGAGCGTTCGACAGATGATGCCTGGGGCAGCCCTGTTCTTGGGCAGTGGCCACACACCAAAGCTGGAGGAGGCAGGCCCAGAGGGACTTGGGGCAGGGCACAGCGTCTGACAGGCAGGTTCCAGATCCCTGCCCAGGGGGCAGGCCGGGCACCAACTGGGGGCAAATCTGAACCCTCAGATGGGCTCCTGTGTGCATGTGAGTGTGTCTGTGTCCAGAAAATGGCCCCGTTTGCCATCTGAAGTACTCTCCCCGGAGGCCGGCGGCCCCTCCAGACCCCTCCCCACTTCAGGGGGAAGGAAATGTGGACTCTCTCGTTGCACTTTGATGCGTCTCTACACCATTTGCTGGGGATCCTGAGGGCAGAGCTCCAGGCAGGCGCTGCCTCCCGAGTCCCGCCACAAGGCTACCTCGCGCGTGTGTGGGACCATGACCCAGGGCCTCCCTCTCCGCTGCAAAGGGGACACACACGCTGGAACCTGTCAGAACTTGGCGACTTCCTCACCTGCTTGCCCTGCCCGATGCTGAATCAGAACAGGCGCAAAGAGAAGCAGTGTCTGTCTAGGACAGCAGAGGGCCCACGTCATGGGAGGGCTCTGCGCAGTGTTTCTGGGCTCAGCACGTGAGCAAAACTCGGGGAAGTCCAGTGATCAAATGCTGCAGCTATTTGGAAATGTTTTTCAAACCGCATCTCTTCATAACTAAGCAGTTTCTGCTCTTCTCAAGTGAAACAGTCAATCTAAGCTCGCTGAGATCAGGAGGAAGAGCGAGGCCTTGTACATTACACGCATGAAGTCACATGACAGTGTCACACTTCTGCCTCAAGTCGATGTTTTTTAAATAAAGTCCTTGGAAATGCATGAGAATCATGCTGCAATATGATCATTCTAGAGCATATATATATTTCAAGATGAAACTAAAGCAGTTTTGAAATAAATTACTTGAATTTCCTGTGTATGTAAAGGAACGACTATGTTTAATGTATTTGACCGGCCTCTGGTCTTGCCGTGTCCTTTGCCGCTGTTGGCACTTGGGAGGTTGTGTGTTTTGTGTCCAAGTGGCAGTTGGGTGCCTATTCACATGAGGCAGGCTACGGTGTCCCTCAGGAACCCGGGGCCGCAGAGGACTGACTTCAAGACTTCAAGACGTTTTTTGTGTGTGTGAAAACTTGGGAATGGCCTTGTGAACCTTGCGTTTGGACAGGAGAAGTCCGACTACTGAAAGCACTGCTGGCATTGCTGCGAACCTTCCGCCAGCGGGAGCCCTGCGGGCCGGGTGTTCTGACCCCTCTCTCAGGGTGACAGCACCTCTGGGTGCCTCACCTCAGCCAGGCGTCCTTGGCAGCTCACTCCTATGCAACTTGATTCTCTAGTGGCTTTAAACTGTAGGTTCCCTTCCCAAGACCCTGCTGTGGTTGTCAGGACCATGGCCAGGTGACTGTTTCGGCTGGTTTATCCTGCTGCTTGCCTGATGACTAAAAAACAGATGGAGACAGGAGAGCAGACTATGGGCTGGGGTGGGGCTGACCCGAATCGAGGTCTGAAACGAACCAAACACATGAGTCCCACCAGAAGGGCCACACCTCGCCCGGGACATCCTACCTTCTTACCCAAAGGCTCACGGAATCTGGTTCCTTGACAGCTGTGTTCGCAGGAGGCTTAGGACCTGGCTGCAACTTGACTTTTAGGAGGAAGAGGGCCCGCTGCACGATGTGTTCATCCTTGAGATCCCAGTCTTGACCTGACCCTGATCTGAAATAACAAAGACAACACAGATAATTTTGTGTTCACAACACAGGCCTTGTTAAAGTCACTGTTAGTATAGGATCACACTGGAAAACAGCTCAAGCCAGGGAAGGGCATGACTGTTTGCTCCCCGGTGACAAGTGGCTGTATGCTTTGTAAAATCATAAAACTATAAGCCCTTCAGATATTTGCAACCAAAGCCTTTCTTAACTGTGTAGGTCTGGTCAGCATGCTGGCCCGTCAGGAGGGCAAGAGGCTGGGGGCTGAGCCCCGAGGTTCACGTGTCATTTTCTGCAGCCGCCCTCCTGGGAGGCAGACACAGTGACCCAGAGGCCCTTGCTCTGGGTGTGGGTCTTGCCTGGGCTCAGGGAGGACCCAGTAGCTAAGTCTTTCTGCCTCAGCCCCTCCCTTGCATTGAGATTATTTCAAGATTGCACTAACTTGAAACTACCAGTGTCATCACCTTGTGTCTTAAGCCGAGAAGGGTTGGCTTCTGCCTCGCGTTGGTCAGACCGCAGGCCCGGTGTGCTCGCCAACCTTGTGCCTCGGGGGTACAGTTCCAAGGGGTGGCGGCGATGCTACAGAGCCTTCTCAAGCAGTTCTGTAGCCTGTTGGAAGACAGTCTGGTGGTCTTGGCCTTGGCTGAAGGGACCGGCAGGGCCAGGCATCCGATGCCAAGGACACGACCTGGAGTTAGCCTTCTAGTGCTTTTGGAGCCTGGGGTGCCTCAGCGCTGAGTGGGAGTGTTTGGAGCAGGGTCGCGGCTGGTGGAGTCCTGTGTGACGTGCACAGACTTGTTACCAAAGCCGGGGAACGCTGGTCAGATGTTGTGTTCCCTGTCAGTCAACAAAGAATCTTAATGAGATGCCCCTTAACCCAGGTGGCATTCGTTTCCACTGCAGTAATGTGAGTGGTGGCAGGGGTGGAGGCCAGCTGGCCAGTGGCATTGGGACGTCGCCAGTGGCAGAAGACCTGGGGGAGGCAGGACAGCCAAGCCCTTCTAGACACCCAGTGGCATCCCACAGTGCTCAGGTGTGTTCTGACAGACCTGTGTGTGTAGGAGCCGCCGCGGCCACTTAGCGCCCTGCTGAGCCAGAAGCAGCCCTTGCTGCACACAGGCGCGCTCTGCTCTCCCGCCACCAGGGCGGGGCCAGCCTCCGGAGCCTGGCATGTTCTCAGAGATTCCAACTGGTTCCTCCTGCGGCTAATGACTCGTGCAGCAGCCAGTGACCGCGACACCTGCTGTAGACCAAGCTTGTAAAACACACCAAATATCGCTGTTCCCGCTAGACGTTAACCGACTTCGGAAAAGATGCACCAAAGCGTCCGTTTCCCCGAGCCATGTCGTCGCTGCCTAAGCTCTGGTCCATCTGAGCCACCAGACTGCGAGCGTGCAGATGACAGTGGCTGTTGGGACCTCCTCGGCAACCAGGGACCGTTGCTGCCAGGGACGGGCTCATCTGCCTTTCCACGTTCCATTGCTGCTTCCGAAGACACCAGCTCCTGCTTCCGAGCCTGGGCCGCCGTCTGCAGGCTTATCCGGCTGGGCCGCCGCTTCTGAGGACTCCCAGGGCCTCTGCCCAGCACCCGCCTGGGAGTGGCCGCTTTCAGCTCTGGCTTGAGCTGGGCCCCCGCACACGCAGCCCATGGGGACCCAGCCTGATGTCGTGCTTGTCACCTCACGCAAAGCCAGCCATCACCATCCTGGCCCGACCCTCCAGGCTTGAGGCAGCCCTTTGGCCCTCCTCTCCGCAGGGCCTCCGGGAGAGCGAGTGACCGCCTCCCGGCACTCCTTTGCCGTCCCCGGGGCCGCCAGGGGCGGCGCGATGTGTTGCGGACTGAGGCTGCCTCTTGGTGACACGACCTGCTTGCTGGAAAATGCCTCTTGTTACCAGAGAAACTCCCCAGGCATCTCGGAACACAACTATTTAGTTCCTTTGTGAACTGGCCACAGGACAACTTTATCAACTTATTAAGTTGGAGCACTCTTAATAGTTCTTGCTGATTTTAGCAGGGATATAAGTGTGTGTTAAACACATAACGTTCAGTTTTATGAGGAAAAGGGAGCATGAGAGGGAGCGTAATTAGCGCACATGACTTAGTTTTTTATTAGGTGGGTAAAAGTGGCCTGATGTTTGTGTCTGTCTACACAGAGCCCCTGGGTTTTCTTCTGTTTCGTTGTCGGGTCAACATCTGTTGCATGCCATGCTGTCCGTGGCCCCGCTGTCCTGCACATGTTCGGTGTGTGTTGCCCTGGTTTCCTTCATGCACAGACAAGCCTCCCCCATTTCTGCGTCTGTTTTCTCTGTTTCTCTGCGGATGACTCAATAAACTTTTCCTTCCGAGGCGATGATGTGAGTGTGTCTGTCACTGCTCGGTGGGTCCAGTGGGAGGCAGAATGTGGCCGGCTGTGGCCGAGGCCTGCAGTGGGGGTGGGTGCAAGTAGAGGCTCATTAATTCCCCAGAGGCTCCCCTAGCTTGAAAGCCCGGGAGCCCTTCCCTAGAACCCCCAGCACTGGCCTCCTCCTGCCCTGGCCCTGCAGGGCCACTCCCCCTGCCTGGAGGAGAGGGGTCTCAGCTCTGTCCACCTCCCCTGGCACGGGCCAGGGCTCAGGCCTGGGTCCTTCTGGAGGCCTATTCTGGTGGGAAGGTGGGATCCGAGGCCTACCCCTGCTGGATTCCGGACTCCCTGGAGAGAACAGTTGAGGGAAAGCAGCCTGTTTGCTGCCAGCCAGCATGTGCATGGGTGGACAAGCAGGGCCGTGGGGAGTGTGTGGCCCAGTGTACGTGCCTGACCTTGGTGGCCCCAGGAGACATGCAGCAGCCTGGGATGACTGGAAGTGGGCTCCACTGGCCGG